CTACGCTTTTCTACATATGTGACTTGAGCCGAATATGAGAAAGTTTGAAATTTGATTTTTATGTTAAACATCAAAATTAGTAGAAACACATCAGGTCGCATATTTGTAAAATGCGAAAGTTCTTGCTTTTCGTACATATATATTTACTAAATATGTTGGCTTTTCTAAATACTAAATATACATGCTTCAGCGATTTTTCGTAATTCATAACCGCTCTCCTGATATATATATATATGCAATCTCATATTTGCCGCATATCATACGCAAAAGTGCGGGAGTGGCGAATCGAGCAAGCGAGAACGAGCCAACCACAGCTACAGCAATTCACAAAATAAAAAATAATCAATTATCTATTAAAGGTAAGTGTTTTTTAATTCTTGATAAGATTCACAGATGCTTATCGTACGTTTTTTAAAAAATTTCTTCGCAGATGTCCTTTCTGCCTCAAAATTGTGTTGATTGTGTGGGGAAGAATGATTTCTTGTGGGGAGTGAAAGAAGACGGGTCTGAGATTTGTTTCTCCGTAGACGACCCACCCCCAGACTTCTTCCGGATGATCGTCGCCAATATGAAGGGCTGTTTGTCAACCCCATCTGCTATCGAGGGAAGAAAAGAGTTCGCCATGGGTATGCAAAATATATGTATCGCCATCATTAGACTCTAAATAAAGTTTATCTAGAGTTCTTTATTTTACACAACTAAATAAAGTTGCGTAAAATAGAGGACACAAAAATTGGGTAAAATTTGTCCAACCTTGAGTAAAATTTTTCGACCCGTTGCTAAATCTAAATCTTACCCCATTGTTGTTTTCTTTTGGTAATTTTCCCCAATTCATCCGCATGAGTTTCTAGTCATCATGTGTCTTCTGCGGTGCATGTCGCAAGTTATATTTATCAAATTAAGTGTGTAAATGCTGTAAGATTTAACCTATGTTTGCCTAAGGTTTATTAAGTTAACGCAAAAATTTAACGGAGACATAGATAATTGTCGGATGAATGCCTTATACGCATTCAGGTCTCATGACTTCCTTACAAGTCACATTTACTTTTAGTTAATGTTTTCCGGTTTGTCGCCTTGGAATTTTTAAACCGCTCATCACGAAATATTATACATATTTATACTAATTTGTTTTCTGGCTTCTGGTGTCACAAAATTTGATCCTAGACAAGATGTCGCCACAGTTGCCTAAATACATGGGTAGCATGCTGAGTAAAACAGGGGTATTTAACCATTGTATTTAATGCAATGACGGATTTCAAAGGCGTTTGCATAATATAATATGGACTCCTTTAGTATGTTTCTGGCCTGAAGTACGAAACGTAAGTGTTAATGTGGCTAATCGCAAAATATTTAGGAGATATGAGAAATCTTGGATACAGGAAATGTATTAATGATTTTTATGTTTATGCTTTGGCACATTCATTTTGTGTGAACAAAAAAAGTTTGATTATGTAATCACCCATCCGGGCTGGCAACTATGCAAACTAAATTCTTCGTATCCGGCCGAATATCTTTTTACATGCTCAAATGGGATTATCTTGAAAGCTAACTAATCCTTAGTCGTGGTAAACTTTCCTTACGGACTATGCATTCACGATCCATCCATCTCCAGGGGAACGAGTGACTGATGATCTAGGACCGCAACACCAAAATAATCAATTAAATAAAGGTAGTGCACTTTCATTCATGATAAAATTCGAATGTTTATTTTAAATTAATTTTTTGACAGATGTCCTTCCCACAAAATTGCGGAGAATGTGTGGCGGACGGTAATTATTGGGGGGTACGAGTAGACGGGTCTGAGATATCTGATCTGACTCTCCAAGCGCCCCACCCCATGAGTTCCTCAGGAGGGCCATCGCTACCACGGAGGGCTGCTCGTCTCTCACGACCACGACGACCCCACCTCCTCCTAAATGCGGAGGAGAAGGGTTCGCCATGGGTAAGGGGGACGTTGCTAACTTCATAACGCATAATTTTTTTTACACCCACCCATCCCTTTTTAACACGCGTCACATACACACGATTTCATTGGGCCGTGACTACCCGCCCACCTCTTTTTGCGTTATTAAGCAAGCTTATAAAAATACTTATGTATGTACATATGCAAACATATGCATCTTCATCATCATCGTCGTATTACTAATTTTGATTATTATTGCGTATATAGGTGTGTTTGTTGGTATGGGAATCGCCGCCGCCATACTTGTGTGTGGAATTGTGGCAACTGTGGTTATCAGACGCTGGTGGTGTAGACGCGAATTGTGGCGTGACAGACGCCTCGTCAACAAGGAAGTTTTCCGAAAAGTGGTCGTGAGCAGCCCGGGTATGTATTTGTAGAACGCCCGACTAATCTCTACCCGAGAAAACGCTTCTACTTAATGTGTCTCGGTTGAAGTTAATAAGAGCCCTTTCTAATGTGAAATATAACGTATTATTATTCGTTGATGGAAATAATACACTTTCAGAGGTCGTATTGTTAAATGACAAACAAACTACTACTTTATTAAACAATTTTACTGGCTAATTGTCAACCCAAAAATAACTACTTTCACGACTTAAAATTCCACACCTTCACTACTGCGTGTCTGCTTGGTAAGTAAAAAGAACGGCGTGCTCTCCATATACTTAACACACTAAAAAGAATAAAGAATAACCTCCAATCCAATCACACCGCTCCTTTCAAATCTGGGAATTTGAGACACTTTGTCTCCTTAACTTTTTACATAAAAATTCATACATACAGCTTTTAACATATTATTAAGTAGCGTCAGCTACTTATTGTGATCGTTTTGTCCGTCCGTCTGTCCGTCCGTCTGTCCGTCCGTCAGCAGGATATCTCCAGAACGAGTCAAGATAATCAAACGCGGTTTTCGCCATTGTGCTTCTAATTTTTAGTTCTCGACCGAGTTCGAAAGTGGGGTCAATCAGACCACACCCCACCGCGCCAGGGGGTGTGGTCCAAATTAAATTTAACTGTAATTTTCATATGGGGTGTCATTTTAAAGGAAATTTCACCACGAATTCAATGGTGTCAAAATGTTTGACCTCATGACCTTGAGGACAAGGTCAAAGGTCACAAAATACATGATTGTCATATGGGGTGTCATTTTGAAGGAAATTTGACAGCGATTTCAAGGACGTTAATATTTTTGACCTCATGACCTTGAGGACGAGGTCAAAGGTCAAAAAGACATAATTGTCATATGGGATGTCATTTCCAAGGAAATTTGGCGGCGATTTCAAGGACAATAATATTTATGACCTCATGACCTTGAGGACGAGGTCAAGGGTCAAAAATACATAATTGTCAGATACGGTGGAATTTTAAACGACATTTCGATCATTCTGACGCTACTTTTTTATATCGGTTTGTAAGAGTTTATTGAAGGTGCATACATATATGTATATGTGTTAGCTGATTTATGGGCGTCGTATTTTTTTACATCAACTTGCACATCGTTACACTAACCATTTTTTAAAAATTACTACATATTGCAACTTTAACATCTAATTGCGACTGCTACAATAACAAATGTGTGTAGGTCAGGGTCCGATAAAAGTGATGGGGTCTGCCTCCATTATCGGTCCCCCGGGATGCGCCCACGAGGGACCTCATAAGATACCTGACGTCCGTTTATACCGTATTTCATTTTGTAAATGTTTTCGCATTTGCATTTTTCCTTTTCTCATAGGTGGAGATGTAGATGACCTTCTTCTGAGGACTGATATCGAGGAAGCGTTTCGGTTTTGAAGATTTTGTTTTGATTAAATAAATAATCATGTAAATAAATCGATGACAATTTCATATTTATATACATACATATTTGCACATTTTTATTTATTTTCTCCTATTTATGCGTCCACTCCATGCATCAGTCTCCATTCACCCTCCTTCCGATCTCATCAGGGGTTCCCCACTCCCACCCCCTATAGTTAATTATATACGGAAGAGCCAGGTCTAGTTTCACCCTTTTGTAACATTTCGTTTGCAACGAATGTACATATGTTTAACGATATACGCATACATATATTACCATAAAGTGGTGCTATGTACATCTGCATATGTGTACTAATTTAGGTAATGTTTTCCTGTTTGTCGACTTAGAGTTTTTAAGCCGCTCGTCACTACATACATAAACTTGGATTAATTTGTTTTTGTGGCTTCAGGTGTGGGTGTTGAGTAAAGTTTCAAAATTGGTCAATTTGATTTCAGATTTCAGACCGGATGTCGCGTCATAATCCGGCTTGCGCACGTGTGCAAGAAATTTGAACAGCAATGATAAAATGAAAAGTGTTCGTTGTCCTTAGCATTTTTAATAACCAACAATTTTTCTGGTTTGTCCAAAAATATCATCATGACTTTGTCCTGTATTTTTAAATAAGCTGTGCATATAACTTTCCCATCGTTAAATCACGAACGACAGAAATCAAAATTTGTGAAGAAATCACAGAATCACGCCGAAATGACAAATCATGGTTATCATAGTTCAAACCCTGCTTGTCGGTCATTAGTAATGACTCATTACATAATCGTGACTGGTAAGGAAGTCATCAATCAGACCTGAAGAATACGCATGTAAGGAATTCATCCAACAATTATCTATGTCACCGGTAAATATTTACGTTAATTTAATAAATCGTGTGTAAACATAGCCTAATAAATCTTACATAAACATTTAATTTGATAAATGTAACTTTGATCATGTCAGTGTTATCAATTTCTCAGGACAACTCTACTTATCAATTTTTCACCTGGTACATATGAACGTAAATACGTGATAAGCCTTTCAATAACCGAGTCAGATAACTTATGTAACACATAAGTTCGTCATTGCCATTTAGCCCTCATTACCAGCTGGATTAAAACAATTTGTTTCATACTTATCCACAATTTCAAAATATACCAATAGTTTCAAAAAAAGTTGACAAAAATGGCGACTTCTAAACCCATCCTTGCCAACAGCATCGCCACTGTGAGTACATGCAAATCTTGTTAAATATTTAGTTAACCGGTTAAAATTTTCCTCATTTATAATATACAGATGAATACTTGGAAAGAGAATTACATTTGGGTAATTACTGCCGATACCATAATGATGAACGAGAACACGTCATTTCCTACATTAATTATTCGTAGCCCCAAATTTGGGTATGGGACACTTACAAAGTTGGATTATGAATGGTACGAATATACATAAAATTTTATTTGAAATGATTTTAATTTTTAAATTAGAGAACATCAACTTGATACATTTTTAGGAGTGAGATTTTATTCATATTTATTATTCTTTTCCGAGCCTAAACTATGAACTTAATTATGGTTCAAAATGTTGTGAATTTAAAGATAAACTGCAAAATACAGATATTACTTAAGTATCTGTTGATGATTAAGGAATCTTAATAAATTTTGCTGTCAGTCCATTGTCGTTTCAAAAATCAATTTCCATTCAAGTTGTGTTCTTTTTTGAAATATTTTAGAATTTTATTTCATTAAGTAAACACACGATTAATGGAATAATGATCACATTCTACGCTAATTTGTATGTTTGCATAATAGTTCTGCAGAAATTACGAGATCAAATGGACACGTCAAGGTATCTTTCGCATTGGTGGAAAAACCTGTAAAGCCAGTCGTTAAATTGGTCAAGATCACGGTCCTAATCCGTGTCGGAATAAAGTCCTTGTCCTCCATTGAGGGGGCGCCGTACATTCGGGATACTACCAATGGGATGAAATATGATCGTACTTTCGTTTTTGGGCCACATTTCCCCGATAAGGTCGACTCCATCAAAGTGACGATGGACTTTCTGATGGAAACTGGTAATAAATAATGAAGCAGTCCTTGATAATGTGAAATATTTTGTAATTAACCTAAAAACTTTTACAAAATTTTGCAAATATTTGTAAAGAAAATTAGCTTCCACATTCAAGATTTGAAAATTTTTGTAGACTTGCACAAATCAATGGCGTCTTTTTATTTTGTAAACTTTCGTAAAAAATTATGTCACAAAACGTACAGATTTTACGTATTTATCAATGAATTGCTTCATTATTTATGAAGAATTCTTAAATTTTTATTCCCAACTTATTTATAAGGTGCAAAAGTTAATTTGTTAAAATTTCAGAACCTCTGGTCCGGCATTTAAGCGCTTTTGATGAAGCTGACGACGATACCATTTCCACAGAAAGTTTTTCGGATTATTTCATGTCCAAATTTTTATCAGACGTGACAATTGTCTGCGACGAGAAAGAAATCCCTGCCCATAAGTTCATTCTTTGCAGTACGTGGTCATACTAAATTTGTGCACATAATGGGGGTATTCATTACAAGTTCGCATGGCAAAATAATTTTGAAAGCTACATTCTACTGTACCTTTGGAAAATGCCCAAGTTCGCAAATGAATCTTCAAGCCAAATTTTTTGCGAACTCGTAGTGAATATTCTCAGTGTAAACTAATCAAAATCGGAGTAAATCGGAGTAAATTACATAGAAATGCGGTCAATTTTTACTTAGAAAGGAGCCCCGTTTTCCGAAAAATGTTTCAAGGTGAAAATTTAGAATCGAATGAAAACAAGGTCGTCATAGTTGATGAGTACGCCACCGTGATGGACATGATGAACTGGATGTATCAAGGATCCACGGACGACCTTGACCTTCAAGGAGCCATTGACCTGTACAAACTGTCGGATCGGTACGAATTGCACCGCCTGACGAGAACATGCAGCAAGCTAATCTACGCCGGAATTAAGGTCGAGACCGCACTGGAGATTTATTTGTTGGGGAAAGTGTATCAAGATCAACCTTTGGTGGATAAGGCGGTCTGCGTAATTATAAAGTAATTGGCTTCTAAATATATGTTTATCACAGCTTTGGAATTCTTTATTAAAATCCTAAATTGAAATGTATTAATTTATTAATTTCAGAAACAAGGAAGATGTATTTGCAGATGAGAAAACATGTGCCGAATATTATGAAAAATTTCCAGAATTCATGCATTCCTTTTTTACTGAAAAATTTACTTAAAATCGTTCCTACTGAAATTTCTGTGTATATATTGAATTATGTAAGAAAATTGGGGGATCCGAAAATTTATAAATTACTAAATTGTCCTGTTAAGGGTTTCGTTTTTCCCGTCAAAAACGATTTTTTACCACGGCAGGTGGGAAAAAGTGGTAAAAACCGGGAAAAACGGTTTTTACAGTCTAAAATGGGAAAATATGGCTGCCCATGTAGTTAGTTATGGAGAAAGCTAACTTCTTTAATAATCAATAATTTTAATTTTTTTTAATTTTTTTCCCATTTTAATTTCGGAATTGGACTTCATATTCGTCATCTCCACGAATTTATGAAAATTTTGATATGTAATACAGGCACTTTTGAACAATTTTGATTGTTTTTCTACTTTTCCCATATGAACACATGTTAATTTTAGAGATTGTTCGAAATGAGCCGTATTACCAACTTATTTTCTCAGAATTTGATGGAGAACACGAATATGAAGTCAAATTTGGAAAATCTTCAGTTTTAAAGAAGTTGTGTCTGGTTGCCCCAAACCAGAGTTTTTCCCATTTCTTCAATTTTTCCCATTTTCCACCTATTTTTGGTGGGTGGTAAAAATGCCTTTTTCCCACTTTTTCCCGCTGCCCTGGTCAATTTGGTTTTTACCAATCGAAACCCTGGTCCTGTTTACATAGAGCAATTTTTGATCGGTGGCAATTTATTTAATAAACACATATATCACTAATGCTCGTAAATGTTTCTAAAATTAGTGGCAACTCTGCCTAAATATATGGATACAGAGCATCAATGTCTACAATGGTTTCATTCTTAAGAACCGTTCCGACCTTTGTTAGGATCAACGGGACTTTTCCTTTCACTTTCTCTCCTTTGTGCTTGTAATACATATTTATGTACCATATATATGTACTTACGCACATTTACATATGTACATACATAAAATATAAAAAGCACAACGTTTATTCGCTTAATAATATTATTAAATCCGTCCATATTCAACGCAAATTCTCGAAGCATACATAACATATTCAAATATTTGATATACTCGTCCTGCTTTATATCCTCAAATCAAAAGTGTAATTTGCATTCAACCTTTGCAATTAAGTTAAGCACGAAATGGATACATCCCCTTTAAACAACAGATTGGTAAGTTCGAGCATTACGCTAAACAAATAATATGTACATACATACATATTCGCGTTAATTTACATATTTATAAATGGTATGAATTATCCACGTTCCAGATATTAAGCAACGTCCTCAAATTTGTGCCACCAACGACTCTTCAAACTGCACGGTTCGTTTGCAAATTATGGGACTACGAAGCAGCAAAGTGTTTTGCAATAACTATTTTTATAACACCGTCCACTTTCAAACAATCTAAGGCCAGGAATCTCATCCAATTCGTCGAGAAATACCAAGTTGAGTATAATTTACAACTTTCATTTCTCCCAAAAAGTTTGTGGACTTATATTAACAGATCACAATTCTTCGAAGGGTTGTACGACCACCTCTACAATCAAGTCATAAATGTTTCCACTGGTTCGGCATCTTCAATCATGGATTTATTATCCGGGACGTTGCAGCTCGTTCGAGATCTGCGTCTTGAAACGATGGTCCGCAATGAGCAAGAAGGGAAATTATTGTCCAGACTTTTTCATGGGATGCCCGGTTTAAAGACTTTATCGCTGGATCTTCTCGACTGGACGGAGGAAGGGTTGAAACATTTATGTAGAAAAGTACCCTTCTCTCTAGACATTCTTGGACTTCACTTTCATAATGTAAGTAATTTAGAGTTGTAGCAACCTGCTTACGAGTTGAGATTTACATTTTTAATTTGTCATGATGCTCTGTATTTACATTGATGTAAATACATGGCAGAAATTAGGGTTTTATTAAATTTATAACGTGATGTATCAATGCAAAAGTGTCAAAACGTATGAGAACTACTCAGTAACATGACAAATAAACATGATAAATAATTATTGTGGCATTTTAATTTTTATGTAATTAATTCCACAAATCAAAAATTGTCCTAAGTACTTGTCACAAATGTCAAATATTTCGGCATTGACATTTAAAAAAATGGATATGACATGGGACTTGTGACACGATAGTACTACACGGATTTATATTATCATTTTTAGGAGTATGTACTCTTAAAAGTAAACTTCTCCTTTTGAGATGTAAATACAGTCCTAATTCACAATTCTATATATATTAAGTAAACTATGTATACTGGATCCAGCGTAACGTTAAGTCGATAAAGAGTAAAATTTACTCTGGATTTGGTATAATATGCATATTATACCAAATCCAGAGTAAATGTTAAGTTAAGTACATGTACTTAACTTAACATATAATTCAGAGTGTACTTACTTACTTTCTAAAAGGGTAACATCATTTTTAAGAGTATGCATATGTATGAAAAAATCGTGTCATATTTATGTACGTACCATTCTTTACGGTAGAAGGACCTAGACGAAGATGACCTGTATGCCATCAGATCCGTCGAACTTGAGCAAAATTACCACCCTCTTTTGGACAATTGGATTTCAACTCTGTTACCACTATTCAACACGATAAAATTCCTAGATGCAAGAGGTTGGGAGAGAAGTATTGAACCCCTGGTTTGCCCCGATTATGACTATCGTTGCTTGAAATTTGTCACGAAACTAATTGCCAATAATCCCTCAGCTTTCCCAAATCTTGAAGGGTTACGCATTTTCACTGATTCCATGTACGAAAATTTGCACCCAATTAAGACATTTTGTAATTTGAAACACTTATATCTTCGCACAAAGCAGTATTTGGAAGACTACGAGACAAATTTCCAGGTGTTGGATGAAATTTTACGTTTACTTGTTAGAAATGCTCATTGTTTAGAGACGTTAGATTATACCTGCTGCATTATCGGGTTGTTTCTGGCTATGATATTACTCTTCCATACTTGCCAAAATTAAAATATCTTGGCTTGACTGTTTATTCACGAAAGCAATACGAGTTTCGACGCGACGCCTGGAGACCGGATCAACCAGACGTGCTAAACATACGGAAACTTGTACTGGTAAGAATATACAGGATATGGATAACTCAAATCTGAACAGTATTGAGGGTATTCATTATTTCTTCGTATCCATAGTAGGGTTAGAGAATTCATATGGACAAGACGACATATAGTTAGACGCCAAATTGTGGCTAGTAAAAAGGTACGGACAAAAAAAATCTAGACTATTTATAATAAATACGGAAAATACAAATCTCATATTATTTCTTTTCCACATTTTATCTGTATTATCCATGTTTATGTTGTGCACATCTAGTTCACATTTTTTGTTCCTGCTTTGGATAGTTTACGAAGAAAACCCAAGGGGTTAAGCGTCTTAAATTTGTTCGTAACGTGATTCTTAAAGACAAAATCTTGCAACGCTTATGACTGTCGTAACCTATTTAATAACGATACGATGAATACTAAAGATGTGAAGTAATTATGAATACCTTAATTAACCCCCTGTATTGAAAATAACTGTATTTTATTTCCTTGTAGGGTGGTCATGCAAATTTTTCGACAACTCTTCCAGCCTTGGAACATCTGCTTTTAATTATGCTAGGAGAAAATGACTTTGACGTTTGGGAGTATCTATTTCCCTTCGATCTTATCGCGGAGGGAGAAACAATCCCACAAATTAAGTCGCTACTTGTCTCATTGATTAGCCAGTGTGACGCTGAATTCATTTGTAAGCTTTTCAAATTGTTTCCGAACGTGACAAGGTTTAGGCATCTTGTAACTAGAAATATTGAGGGCATGGAATACCTTCATGTGTGCGAGCATGACACTAACATTGCAAAATTTCAAAGTGTTAAGTTACTAAAAATTGGGTATCAAGCACATTATAATGAATGCAGTTGTTTTATTGAGTTAAGAAAGAATATGAATTTAAGAAGAAAAGATTTTTGCTTTTGGGGTGATGCGAATGAGAGGGAGGTTCCCATCATGTATGATGATTGGTTTGTGTAATTGATTATATTCTCGTAAAATTTTTCGGGCATAATTCCCCATTGAGTTGCAAGTTTCGTAAGTATTTATCAGTGATAATGTGAAAATTAGAGTTTCGTCTTAGGGGAAATAAATACTTCATTCAGTATTTAGTACATATGACAATTTCATTAATAGCGTTATAATTTAGCAAATAATGTGATAATTTAATAATCGTAGGCAGAATTATAATTTGTAAATAACCGATCCAGATATTGCTTATCGTATAGTTATAACTCTACGATATATGGGTTTGATTTTAATTTTGTTAACATGAATAATTATTTATGTGTTTACATCTTACCGATTCATGGGAACTCTTAGAGATCAGATATTAGAGAGATATACAACATATATTTATATATATGTATATAACATCTATTTAAATATATGTGATTATTAGGTTCAGATTTACTAATATGATTAATGGACAGAGTTAAGACGTAAAACATAAATTATTATTCATATTAACAAAATTAAAATCAAAACCATGTATCGTAGAGTTAGAAACATTTATGCACATATTTATATTGGAAGACAATTGTTGTACAAATCTGTCAAGCCAAAGCATGCATTTAATTGATATAATGTCATTTTAATAAGTAAATCGAATCCACTCTACTCTTATTAATTAGGGTACACAACACGCATCACATTTTGCTGATAAGCAGGAGTAAGTGCATTGTTCATCTGTAAAATAGTGGATGAATCACGACCTACTAAAGCTACCTTGTCACACCTGCCACGATAACAAATTATTCAGCATATATACAAAATAATAATGTTTAAAAGTGACATATGCTGTATGACAGATGAGCAATCATTCAAAAATATTCATCATTACCACAAACAAGTGAAATATTACTTAAAAAATGGCAAATTTAATCAAAATTCGTACCACATTGTTCCTGGCTTCACTGATTCTTACCTCATTTACCTCCGCCCAAAATGGTATCCCACCCGAAACCCGGATACAAATCGACTCCCTTATCGATGCAGTAATGCAGACCCAAAACGTTTCGGCGCTCGGATTGTCGATCGTTTTTGGAGAATCTGTCTACAACAAGGGATACGGATTACGCGATCGAGAAAATGGCTTACCCGCCGGTAACAACACACTCTTCGCGATCGGATCAATTTCCAAGAGCTTCACGGCCATCGTGATCATTAAATATTTGTCCGAACGATACCCAACGTTAGGAGGGTCCGTGTTAGACGTACCGATTCGAATTCTTGCTCCCAGCTATAATTTCACCCTAGGAGACAGATACCGCTCGGAAAAGGTGACGTTTAAAGACCTCTTGGCCCACCGGGTTTGCACGCTGCCGGAATATACTGGAATGTGGGTCAGTGCTTACGAGGGGGAGGACGATTTTTACTAGTACGTACATATTAGTGATTTCAAAATTCTACGGTATATACAATTTTAAAATAACTTTCGTCCTACTATTTTATGCGCAGCCGACAAAGATATTCCCTCGAACAATGCGGACTTCGGGATGGGTTTCTCTACAACAATGGACTTATCGGAATAGCTGGACATATAATTGGTCACATGGCTAATTCTACGTTTGATGAGATGGTAAGATCTGCAAAAATTTAGCACTTCATACACACATACACACATACAATTATTTTGCATTTAAGTTTATTCGTGCCTAAATTTGCTTGGCATGAATTAGTAATATGGTCATAAAGTGTGTTACAAGTGCCTGCTACATAAGATAAGATTGGTACAGTGTCGGACAGATGTCTACGTCCACATAGTCGCGTCAATTTCATTTTCAAATTGTCACTGAATTACTGAACCAATTTTCATCATTGATATATCAAATTCTCACAAATTTAACGTAATTTCATAAAACATATGAGTTATTTCTGAAAATTCTGGGAAAACTGAGAATCATAGTGCAGAGCGAGAGAGGATGAAATTTGAGCGGACAAAAGTCTACGTCCACTTCACTTTAATTGTCAACAACAAAAATCTCTCCAATTTATAAAATCAGGTAACTTAATAAATCTATCAATAACATATGCCGCATTAATTTTTAAATAATTTTCTTCCAGAAAAATATGATGGCGTCGACACGCAAGGAAATTCCTATCGCTATTCGAGATCTTGTCATTCAGGACTGGAAGGGTGGACAAAAAGGGGGCTGTCGCAGAGACAAATATGGACCAAGTATAAATTAGCAAGGACAACCATCCAGACAATCATTAAGAACTTTAAAGCTAATGGTTCAGTCCAAAACAAGGTCAGAAGTGGTCGAAAACCCATTTTGGCTCACCGAGAAGTACGCCACGTGCTCAACAAAGTCAACGTTACACCCTCACTTAGTGCTCCAAAGCTATCTACCGAGATCAAGGAGATGTTCGGCAAACAGGTTAGTCCTATGACCATCCAAAGAACACTGAATAAGGGAAATTTGAAATCCCACAGAGCAGTCCGGAAACCTCTTATTGTACCGAGGAATGCAACCAAACGAGTGAAGTTTGCCAGAGACCACATTTCCAAGCCACAAACATTCTGGGACATATTTTATGGACTGACGAGTCAAAGTTCAATGTCTTTGGGTCAGATGGGCGTCGTAGAGTGTGGAGATATCCAAAAGAAGCTTTGAATCCAAAAAATCTCAACCCCACAGTTAAGCACGGCGGCGGGTCGGTAATGATGTGGGGATGCATGGCTTCAAGTGGGGCAGGAAAAATGGAATTTATTAACGGAATTATGGACCAATACAAGTACCAGGGAATACTTGACCGTAATATCCAGGAATCTGTTCGAAAACTTGGACTTGGACGACGATTTGCCTTCCAACAAGACAACGATCCGAAACACTCTGCCAAGTCCACCATGGAATACTTCAAGAAAAAAAAATTCCGAAGCTAGAATGGCCTCCCCAATCTCCAGACTTGAATCCCATTGAGCATCTGTGCGACCACATTGAAAGAGAAATAAGAAAACAATCTTTTTCAGGAATTCCGGGCCTTAAATCCAGAATTCGTGAAGTTTGGGAAACCATTTCTGAAGATGTGACCAAGAATTTGGTAAACTCAAAGACTCGACGCCTTGAAGCCGTCCTTAAAGCGAACGGAGGCCCAACCAAATATTAAAAATTAATTGTTATAACATTCCTTATAAATTACAGTTTTTTTTGTATGTTTTCTCTGACTGGACGTTGACTTTTGTCCATCCAATTGTTTTCATTTTGAATTAAAATACATCTCTGGCCTAAAATAAATTTTTTAGCGGAAAACTAATAATGTGCTATGAAATTACGTTAAATTTGTGAGAATTTGATATATCAATGATGAAAATTGGTTCAGTAGTTCAGTGACAATTTGAAAATGAAATTGACGCGACTATGTGGACGTAGAAATCTGTCCGACACTGTACATTACTTATTTTTTATGTATGTAGTTACGCAACCTCCTCTCCTCAATTAGAATGAGTGACACAACACTGATAAAGGAGACGGACGATCATAACAATATGATGCAGCGAGCCATCCCATACTTGTGGAAGGATGATCAACACATTCGCTATAATTCAGAGATCTTAAAGTATGTAAAGTGACAAATATTTATATTAAGTATGACGTGCATCAAGTACGCAACATCGTTATTAGTAGCATGATAAAATCTGTGCGTTTCGTAGTTCAAAACTAAACAAATTAAAATGATCTACACAATTTCAATTTGCACATTTCCGTAAATTAATTTTTTGATAAAAATTTGCTATTTTATGAAAATTTTTCCCCCGAGTCAGTTACACGAATGAAAATGCTAATAAATTGATGATATGAGTAGAAAAGTATCGTTAATATGAATGAAAATCAAAGGAGCGTCGTAGTTGCCAATGCAGCCGGCGGTATTCTTAGCAATGCGAACGATATGGCTAAATATATGGACTTCTTCCTTAACCGGGGAAAAGTCGGGGATACGCAAATAGTTCCGGAAGTAAGTATGTAATTTTCATCCCAGTTGAATAAAAAACTGCTTAATATAGTTAATTTATATTTAAATTCCCAGGAAGTCATGGCCTGGCTGAGCGTCCCGTCCAACCCTTTACTTTCCGGGTTCCTCAAAACATCCGAGGATCCCGAACTTGTCCCAGATATCTGGATGGGGTACGGTCTTTGCCTTGGCGTAGCGATGTATGACGGATGGTTGAAAGTTTTTCATGATGGTTATCTCCCTCCGTTCGAATCCTTGATGAGCACTTATCCCGAATTGGGATTGGGCATTTTTACCACAGCGAGTGGCCCTGGTCCTCTCTTCGTCATGCCACAATGGGCCCTGCATAATGAAATCTTCCAATTATTGCGAAGTATTCAGATTAAAATTTATGAAGTGCAGATACATAATTAATTTAGAAATGTTTCTTAATTACCTAATTTGCTGTCCCCTATGAATTTAGACAATGTTACTAAAAAGCGGGACTTGTCACTAAAAAAGAAAGCTGCAATTACTCCGCCAAGATTTGATGCTCAAAAAACTATCAACCATCAATCCCAATTTATCTACGAAGAAGAAAAAATTGCTCCTAAAATTTCTGAGGAAGAAGCCGTTGGAGCTTTTGGAAATGGATTTAACGGTAACTACATACATAAAATAGATTTCTAAAATTCAGCGTTTTAAAATAATAGTTAGTTATATTTAGAATAGGAATTTGGTACGGAATTGCGTAACATTCATATGCATTTAAGAAATATGTAGCTACGTTGGCCATACTGACGAAATTCACGCCAGGGTCAGTAACTTCGTAAAATTCGTAAATTTACAAACGTTTACAAAAATATTTCTCAGGAACAAATTTTCGTAAATAGCTCATTGTCAGATCAAGGGCTTCTCTCGATTTTGCAAAACCTACGGATTTTACAAAGTTACCAATAACTGCGTAAATTTCCTCAAAAATTATTTACCAAATTTTCGGTTTAATATTTCCAGGCGGGTTTACCATCTCCTTTAAAAACAATTCTATTGGGGTTCCCCAGCTTTATTGGGAGTATGGAAAATGGGCCCTGGCCTGGTTGGAACAGACGACTCCATCTATTTTCTCCGTCACTGAATACGATTCTGATTTCTGGATGATGTCTTGGCCCGCTGATGGTGGAGTAATTACATTAACGCTAGAATTCGATGACTTGGACACGATCCGGCTTGTGGATCAAGGTGCCGAGACCACCCTTCCGTTTAAGAGAGGACTTGTCGTAGATGATCTGCCCCACGTTCCATGGGCTCCTGACAGTTGTTAAGAAAATCGTTTTGTGGATGATGTCAAAATTATAAGTAATTACATATTTAAATGATGTAAAAAAATATAAGCCATGCATACATATGTAGCTACATATTCGGCAATGTTTTATAAATGACGTCACTAGGAACGACCAATTTGGTTTAATGTCCATAGTCCATGCCGGAGTCATTTGTTTACAATGTTGGGCGTTTCTTGTAATGTACATAGCCTCCATAATTCTTTGTCCAAGTTGCAATTGGTTTGCTTAATAACCTAATTAGCCCGGAAACGAAATTAATTAGCAACGAGAGCACTCAAAACGCTTACTTATCGGGACTAATTTCAGTAATTTCCTTAACCTTTTTCTAACTTCACAAACTTAGATTTCTTTCCATTGTAATTTGTAATGTTAAGACGATTATAAAAAACAGTAAATTTTAGGCTATTTAAACCCGTTTATTGCTTACTCCACAGTAAATTCCGCAATAATTGAACCATATTAATGGCTCAAGTTGCAAAGGAGTGAAGGATAAAAGCAACTTAAGAAAAAGTATGCTGAATGTACATATTTACATGAATTGCAGTATCTGACTAGCCAGTCCATCCCAGTGTAAACTAATTACGGGAAATTGTGTGACGAGTCGTGAAATAGCATTTTTCTCAATTTATTTCTTTAGTTGCTATAATCTCATCGCACCGAACACTTTGTTCACGATACATAATTTCCAATAAATTATGGAACCCGCTACCAAACCTTTCTCTCGCTCATCTCTCGAGACCAATTTAATATCTATAATCTCTCTCGGAAGCAGAATATCTCAATTTATCGGATACTTTCCCATGTCCATCTCTAAAACTAATGATGGCACGAAATTTACATTTTCCTGGGCCACCCTCCCCATATTTTCCAGCCTGGCAGTTCTCGCCTTTCAAATTTTCCTTATCGCCCACTACTTCTCATTTGGAGGGAAGATAACCACCATGTACAACCTGACTCGGTCCACGGAACAACTCGCCTTCAACGTGACCGGCGTTCTAATCTGTTTTCAGGTCATGTTTAAAATATCCGTCCATCTTCTCAACGCGAAACGAATGTTGTCTTACTGGGATTCGTTGGTAACGGATTTTAACCAAATTTCTAGCAGTGATATTTCCGGGAACTTTGTCATCAGTCTCGAACCTTGGGCGAAACATGGCCAAATTTTTAGATCTCTGCGCGCCTCAGTGAGACACACCGTACTTGGAAGTCTTGCCCTCATCTTTACCTTAATTGCCCACATTTTCACCATGTTTTGCATATTACATACATTTTTTAAAGATAAGCTACCAGGTGGATTTACCTTTCAGGAACGTGCTACCGGGATGTTAGCCGTGGTTGCGTGGAATATTATGGGGTCGCTTAACGTATTTCAGTCGATCTGGATTACGTTTCCGATTCAAGTTATGAACGCCTGTTTAGAAATGATTGTGACAGAGCTTTCAGAGTTTAATGAGTCAGAAAAATTAAGGAAAGGAGGAGGAGATTTGTTTCTTACTAGAATATCGCCTCTTTTAAAGGAGAAAAACAATTCAATTGTTAAAGTGACTAAATTTCTGGACGAGGAAAAGCTGCACCTCTGTATTTTGAATTATCACCGGGTAGTTCAAATATTGAGAAAACACGAATCTGTTGTCGGGAACGGGATAGCATTTGAAGTTGGGTACAATTCCTTGTTAATTTTGGCATATTTGTTTATTGGGATCATTTGGGCGGCGTCAGGCCAATTTGTCACCGGACTTTCGAGACTTATTCCAATTATACTTTGCGCCAAAATTATGTATCACTTGGGAACTGAAGCGGGAAAATTGGACAGTAATCGGAAGGCCGTGCTGAGAGTGATGTGCCGAATGCGGAAAAGTTGGATGAGTGGAGACACGAAAGATGCCGTTTTTGGAATGATACATGAGTTATCTGGAGATAAGTTGAAGTTTCAGGCGGGTGAATATTTCGCGCTGAATAGGCGGCTGTTAACATCGGTTAGTAAGAGAGAAAGTGATTCATTTTATTTAATAAAGCGGAAGCTAATCAGTGATTGAATTGAAATATTTATTCATTACAGATTTTCTCTGCGGTTCTTACATTTCTCGTGGTTCTTGTACAGTTTCGAGATGGGGAACGCAAATAGATATTTAGAAAGTGGGTAGTTCACCTGGAAATGAAATCAAGGATTCTTGGTTTCGATAAAAAATTGTTTCTTTAAAAACATGTCATTGTAGATATTTCATAATTTCATTAATTTGTAAAACTAATCATATTAGCAATAATTAATTTGTTACGACTTATAGTTTGACAGCATCTAAATCAACATATTACAAGAAAAAATATTTCATTGGTTTAAAATCACTAAAGTTTTTTTTAATTTAGGGATATCTATGCAATTACAAAATCATAATTTTTTGAAAATAAATTACTTTAATTTCCTATAAAAGCAGTACAAATAAACGTCTAACAAATTAATGTGTCCGATTATCGAACTTAATTCTTGCAAATTTTTTGGGAAAACAAAATTGATCAAGTCTTCATTACTGTACATTACCAACCGGATTATCAATTAAATCTTCCCCCACGACGCGGCACACATCTCGGAACCGTTGGGAAACACGGTGCTCGATAACAATTCACTTGCAGCAAGACGCAAAAAGTCCCCCGCCCACAGCGAATATTGGCACATGTGAGTCGAGGAGGTCCTCCTGGACCAGGTGATCCACCTTCTGAGTTCAAATGTTAATCAGTACATTTTTTGATGAATAAATGTTAAGTTTAATTAAAAATAATATGACGCATTTACCACGAATTCGTTGGCAAGTTGCACGTCCGTTGCTAAATTGACACCGGAACCCTTGCGCACATTGGATAAGGGCACACTCGTCTGGGCCAACTTCAAATTTAAAGAATTAAATTTAGCTGACTTTTTAAATTAAGAATTTGAAACTTCAAAGTAATTTTTCTTGCATTTACAATTCACGTCCAACTTTTTTAAATATAAGTTGCTACAAATTTGTCTACGTATATACATGACATAAACCAAATAAAGCCGATCCTTTATTTTTTATTAACTAGTAAATTGTACAAAGCTTTAAATTTATTATTCGTAAAGTACTTGTAATCTTAGGCCAAAATCTAATCCGAATTTCTCACCTGTTCCATTCGCTTGATGACTTCCGATTGCAAGAATTGCAAACGTTACGAAAAATAATGATGACAACATTGCGAGGAAGGCTTGGCAATTGAAAATGAAACCGTTTTATGATGTCAAACTGTGAATGTTTATCAAGTGCAACGTGCTGCTTGTATTTATGCAGTTTACATTTTATTCAAGAGTTTATAGGGTACGAACAGTAACGGAATTGAACAAAGAATGTTTTTGTACGAAAGAAGAAGAATAAGTTCACCTTGCAGGGTTTAATTCTTTTCAAAAGTCAGATTAATTGAAGAACGAGCTATGGAAATCTCTTAATTCGCCATGGATGCGGTTGGTTCTTTACAATAAACCAATGCACACTAAACAATTCAGCACGCAAAACATTTCAATGCTAAATAAATATCTTTTCAACATAAAGTTCATTCAGACCTCGTATATTACTGTTAGATTTTAAATGTAAAAGTTCACCCTATATTTTACATCAGTGGCCACATTCTTTAGAGTGTTGGCAAAGAAAGGTACATTGGTGCTTTAACAGCGTATTGTTGTTGCAGACTAAGAACTGTTTGTGACACAATCTGATAAATGAGTACAAAATATGTACACCTTGTACATATGTACGTTTGTACATTTGCATGTATGTACATACAGTGTTCTATTCAACAACTGGTATCATTGCGGAATTGTTTTTTATGCATTTCTTAATCAATAAAATAAGGAAGGAAGGCAGAAGATTGAACTTGACAAACTTGAGGTCATGTGCATTATTTATGTGTACATAAGAACCCTTTACAACTGCGTAATTTGTTAATTTCAGGTACATATGTCATTTCGTATGTACTGTCCAGTGACCGCCGAAGTTGGGAGACATTAACGTTGTAGGGAAAGGGTGGGAGAAGTTTATATACTTACAATGGAGGCGCAAACCATGTTCAGCCCAGATAATTTTTTGACCTTATTAGTTTGAAAGAGCAAGTCTTTACAAACAACATTTGGTTCGGCACTTGGGCAGATGCGCAAATTTCAGCACTCGATAGGCGCCGCAAGTTCGCAAAAACGCACGATTTTTCGGGCAATTCCCAGCGCGAGCTCAACTTCGTGCGTTTTTGCTAACTTGCGGCGCCCATAACGTGCCGAAATTTGCGCATCTGCCCAAGTGCCGAACAAAATGTTGTTTGTAAAGACTTGCTCTTTCAAACTAATAAGGTCAAAAAATTATCTGGGCTGAACATGGTTTGCGCCTCCATTGTTAGAATGAGCAGATGATGGGGACATCAAATAACCGTGGGGACATTGTTCCTCTGTCCCCACGCTTCTGTGGCCAAGTATATACTGTAAATAAGCATTTGCAGCTTGAAAATCCACCCAAGTAACAATATATCTCGCAGTATGTAATAATAACTGGCGGAATAAAAATATGAAGAAAAAAATAATTAGCTAAATTATTACATTTTATGGCTTGATGTTTGGCAAAATCTTGGATTTGATGAAAATCATAATAACTCGTAACCGTTTGAAAATCATTTTAAGCTTCAACATGAAAGGATGGAAAAATGTCCAGAGCTTTTTAATTAATTAGTGAAATCAATTAATTTGCTAATTAATTACCAATTTTCAGCTAATTAACAATTATAAATTAGTTTTAATTACCTTACTAGAGTAATTAAACTGAGTCAATTATAATTAATTAGTTTCGTGATATTTTAACCAATTAATTAATTAACTAATTAATTACTTAATTTTTGAGATTTATCTGGTTTGCGCTGTTTCGTTTTCCCAGGTAAAGTGGCGTTTTTTAATCTGGCAACTCTCCTATTCTACATGACTTATTTTCAAGCCCTCATAATTAAATTTCATGCAATAATTTCAACTTTGTTACAATAAATAACTGCATACTGTAAAGTATATAAGTGCCAATAATGGAAGACGATATTCTCAAAAATTAATATGAAAATCTTAACAAACTAACAATGTCAATACTCAAATACCATCATCAGCTCCAGTTGAACTTTACTTGATGGACTGATTATAATCATTCCATCAATTAAAGGATACATAAATGTATCCGAAATATGGGCGATGTTAAAATGTAACGATTATTATAAATTTGAGTTGCCGGTAATTATTTGTGCCGTCCGTAATTTTATATTGTAGCTTGTAAATTTGCGTTGAAAACAATTCTTTTTTTAACTAATTAATTATTTTTCGAGAAGTAATTAATTACTTTTTTTAGAAGTAATTAATTAGTAATTATAATTAATTAGTTGAAGCTCTCTAATTAAAAATTGATAATTAATTAGATTAAAGATGTCAGCGCTAATTATTAATTACTAATTAATTATTCTTTGCGTTAATTAAAAAGCTCTGAAAATGTCAAAATAGAGAAAATATATGTGAAAATCATTTGTATTTTAAATACGTTTAGGAGATTTTTTGCATAGCTTATAGTTGTATTTTTTAGATTTGCAAAAGAGTCTTTTGAAAAGACGAAATATTTAATATGAAGCCAAATTTATGTACATATATACTTTAATCGCCTTAAAAAATAACATGTACAAAGTAATAAAATATTCAAGTGTCATTTGATTTCCTCGACAATAGGGTCTCCCAAGTTTGTAAAAAAGATCTGAAAAAGCGAAAAGCTAAAAAATCTGAAATCCGCTTTTTTCGCTCAATACTTGACTGTCCCGATTTTTTATCGCTTGAATATTCAGGAGCAGAGAATGGGTGGTCAGGAAACTTTCGAGTTTCTTTTAAAATTTAAATTTGCTTCATGTTGGATATGATAAAACAACTATCTAAGATCATGTAAATCCAAAAATTATCAAAATGGGATGAAAATAGGATTTTTGGCAAAGGTTTGAATGCGGTAGTTTTAGTGGTTGCAATGCTTTTCAGGGGGTGTGGCGGGCGCAGGTGGGGACATGGAGTAAAATCCTCCTTCACTTTCCATACACTCACCTGATATTGCAATATATTCCATAGGGCATCAAAATCGGGTGATGTCCCCTTAAACATGTCTCTGAGAGACTGATTTTTCACTCAAAGTAGTAAAAAGAGCGAAAAAATCATCTTAAAGTAGATTTTATTTTTGAGCAGAAGAAGCGGAAAAAAGATCGGAATCGCATGCGCAGTGCGGTTTACAAAAAGAGCGAAAAAATCGTGAGCGGAAAAAGCGATTTTTTTTACAAAGCAGGGACACCCTAATGAACTTTAACAGAGTAAAAATAATGGTTCGATATGGTTCGATCAGGTTCAAGAGTTGCTTTAAGTCAACAAATTTCCCATACTTGTTACAAACTTAATTAGACACGATAAATCGATATTAGTCACCTGCACGAGTAATCTGTGACCAATCAAAAAATTAATGAGCATAAAGTGCCTGTTCAATTTATCGGTAATGCATTGATTTGGACACATTCTTATCTTGTAATTAGTGTTCAACAACGAAATGTAATTTCCATTTACGATATTGTACAGAAAAACACTTGAGTTAGACAAAGTATTTATTAATGCCTGCACTCGCAATAATAATATTACTTGTATTTTTCATCCCACAAAGTACACAAATCATTTGGAAAATCTCGCCCAAAATGAAATCGTTTTTACTTACGGTGGCAGTTTGTTGCCTGTTGTTGGTAGCCATGACAACTGCAGCATCAATTGACCAAAAGACTGGTGATGAGATCAAAGCTATGGATTTGTTCGTTTCTGGCGGACCGGTAAGTAGCTCAGTCAGTGCCGTATCTCACCTTGGTCCGGCCTGGAGAGTAAAACTCTCGTCCGGCCTTTCATGTGCAAAATTACTAAAGTTAACATAGCGGATTTCTTTTGCTTATTTCTTATCTGCAGCTATGGTTACGTTACAAATATATAGTGATTTGTGCTAAAAATTAGTTACATAGGCATGCATTCACTAGGCTTATGATTATTTCATATGCTTTGATACCGGCCATAACTGCATCATGATTAGTTCGTGTACGCACGAATGTATCTTGAAACTATGTAATTATGACATGAATCGTAAATTATTGAATACATAGGTGAAGCCAAGCATATTTATGGTTAGCGATAGCCCATTTTTGGAAAAAATATTGTCATTCTCAAAGATGACAACTTTTTACCTCGGACCCCAAATCTTAGCCACTCCGGCGATTTCTTGTTCGTTTTATTTTGGTACGGTTGGCTAAACTCAATCTTGGTGCAATTCAGGTATATTTTACTAGGGTTGCCGCGGGTAGCGAAAATGCTACTCGTTACCCGACCCCCTACCCGCTGGCCAACTACCCGCGCGGGTAACCGTTACCCGCTACCCGTTATGAGAATTAAGTTAAAAACTAACCAACCTTCAGAATAAATTTGATTTAAATCAAATAGGCAAATAATTGATTAAATAATCAATTATTTGCCCATTTTGGTTGTTCAGTAGTTTGAGATAATGCTGTGCAATGAATGCCATATGGCTAGATGTTATTAGTTTCGGAAACCAGACCTTTTGGCTTATAATAGCTGCTTTTCCAAGCTACACCGGAATTTCTTAGCGAATTATATAAAAAATCAAGCCAAAAATGAGTAATTATCGCTTATCTTTCAATTGAACAGTCCGTTCAACGAAAACTATTGGGGGCAAGTCCATTATGGTTTTCGTCCAGTGGAGGAAAAAGATGTAGAACATTTACTTAAAAATTGAACTTTGCTGCCAATGTTTTTCTTCAAAGTGGACATTCAACGGAAAGTATCACGCGATTCCTAATTTTTTGCTTGACTTTTTTATATACTCCGTAGACCATTGTGGTGTAGCTTGGGTGTGCTCGAAAAAGGGTTAATTTTTAGTTTGATTTTTTGAAATTTTGATTTATAAAAATTGACTAAATACAAAAAAAATTTTTGCTTTCAATCCGATTCAGGTTTTTCACCTTCAAATCACAAATTAAAATCTCGTCGGTCTTACACAAATACAAGTTGAAGTATTACTTACTAGTGTAGATGCCCGCCAATTGACGTGCAAAATAGGCCTGTCGATAAGCCCGTTATCAAAACATTAGTGAAGTTAGCCTCTCCTGTTCTCTCTGCAGAGTGGAGAGAGAAAGGAGAGGCTAACTTCTCACCTAAGCCACCGACCCAGCAGCGATGTCATCGCCTGCTTTATATAGTTTAGATATTTTGGAGCAGGCCAATTATACTTGAGTAACAATACTTTTTCCAGATTTTCGGGACATGAAAAGCATTTGAGGCTGCCGTAGGCTTTTTTGGCTTCCCAAAAGACACGCTCGCTATAAACGTTAGTTGCTGGCAAATGGCAAATTTTGAAATGAATAAATAATAAATTGACGCCTTTGTTGGCAAATGGACTAACTTGATGTTTAGTTTCTTAGTGAACTGATTTAGGTATGTCGAAATTTAACTAAAAACTGAACTACCCGTTACCCGTGCGGGTAGTTCTCGCTACCCGCAGATAACGGGTACCCGCAAGAATCATGCGGGTATGCGGGTAACGGGTACCCGACCCGTTACCCGCGGCAACCCTATATTTTACACACAAATACAGATGTACATAGACAATATATTCAGACACAAGTACAGTGGTGAGGGCGTCCCCCTGATAGCGTTTTTGACCATTAATATCTTTGGCGCTATTAGAAATTCTGAATTGAAATTTTTGAAATTTGTTGACCACAAATATTCTTAGTGTCTTCTATGGACAAATTTAGAATTCCAAAATTCACAAGTTCACATTTAATTTCGATTTTGGATTAAAGTATAGCTTGTTACTATATTTGCAAACCTTTTTTTTAATTCAAACTAATATCGGAGTTTTCAGCAACGGTGTAAAACCATTCTGCAAAGTATAGAAAACCGGGTTACTAAAATTTGTCAAAAATCTGATTTAGTACAAACCGGCTTTTCAAAATGTCCCGATTTTGGATGTCACAGTCGATAGAAATTAGACTTGATTTGCAAATTCCACGAAACCGAAATTATCGAATAAGTTGCATTAAGAAAATTTTGACAGAGTTGGGAAATAATCCGGATTAATCAACGTGCTTAAACGGTCAATCCCAGTCCATAACCCAACCCTCTCTCTTTAACATTGGGTAATCCGGATTATTTCCAACTCTGGATTTTGGTCATTGTTGAAATCAAAATCCAATTTCTATGTGCCTATTTTTTATCAATATAGATGCGAATTAGCATTTATAACACACCACTTTCGTGCATTACAGCTCCTAGAAAACAGGGAAAGCATGCGTCTCCGTGTGTTCGAGCGGAAATGTTAGAACGCATTCATAGATTTTTACGAAATTGGAGAAAAGAATAATATCTGGGCATTGCTATAAAAGGTTGGTTATACCAAAAAATATTTGGTGAAGGATCATGTATTTAATGATATGGGTTAAGTACTTAATGTACAGTATTAGAAGTAGTCATGGCAGACTGAAATTTATGTGTCATGATCGAACCCATACAGATAGGCTGTTCACCTTCTTGATGCTCGATTGATAGTGTCACGCATGGCCGTTACAAACATCTCCAGAAGTTATTTGATAGGTTCATTGAGTCAAACTTAAAATTTTTTCAACTCACAGGAATGTAGTCTGCTACCTCAACCGATTTGCAGAAATCGTCACAGAAGGCTTAAATTTGAATATTGTATCGTATTGTGAAATAATTGAAGCTTCTCAGAAATAAAATAAAATCGAGTTACCAATATTTTATTTATAAGTATGTTAACGTTGGTTGGGAACATTACGTATAAGTAACATGGCTTGTACTTCTAGGTCAATTATATCTAGTGTCTGCCTCACCCGGCCGGTACGGCCCTTCGGGCCGTCCGGCCTGGAGAGTGCTCTCCACCTAAAACCAGTGCTCCTACGGCCCTGAGCTCAGTAATGATGAAAATTGCATTAATTTAAACACTAACAAAGTTGTTAATGTTTCCTTGTATGCGGGTTTTGAATTCGAATTTTTGTGTCCCAACTTTCCCTTCTTTTATGTATTCAAATGGAGATTTTGTAACATCTCTGTGTGTTTTTTACGAAATTAAAATTTTCATGCTTCTTAGGTTTACGAAGTTAGGGCTGGAATTTTGATTTTCTTTCTCTCATTTTCAGAAGTAATAAAATTTGTATTTTGTAATAACAAGTACGGAGATGCCCAGGTTCTAAATCTTCCTTTGAATATACGGAAGATGGGAAGTTGAGACAAAAAAAATGAATTCATAATCCGCATACAAAAGAACGTTGATAGAAACATTCCAAATATTTTTCAATAACTTGTCACAATGGAGTTACTGATGTCTTACTGCGTTATTTAAAAAAATGATTAAGAACGAAAAAATTTTTTTCTCGAAAACCCAAATTTGATATTACATAATGATTAAATTGGCGAGAAACTCCGAAATAAATCCGAATTTCGCGAAAAATATTTGCATCATTCTGCAACATAGAATGCAGTTTTGAAGGCACCCGAGAGATTGTAATAGTAAAGCCGTAAATTACGATTTATAGATCAATTAAATATTGTAATCTTTTTTACAGAGTACACTGTGCAAACCGCAATACACGCCATGTCTTCCATACCTGAACCAATGCTGTGTTGGAAAATGTACCTTTACGTATGCCTTCGGATGGGGATGTTTCTCATAATTGGCTTTGATATTACCTGAACTTTTTAAAATGTATTAAATAAAAATCTTTCTGAAGCAAACTGAATTACCACTTTGTGGCCTCCAAAATTTAATTATTCTGCACCATCATCACGTATTGCACTGAGGTTGAACGGGTCAATGGGTAGCATAAATAAACCAGGGTTCGGAAAAACCTAGGGGTTTAATCAAAGAGTAACAGCCCGAAAGTTTTAATGGGTTTTAGGTTTTTTTAGTTTATTGAGTTTTATGGGTTTTACTGGGTTTTTAGTAATACAAAATTAAAAAAACATTTTTCGAAATTATTGCATCTGCAATTTCAGTAATATAAAATTTTATATATTAAATAATATTGTTTAAATCTTACAACAGTATAATAGCTATTAAGGAGTCAATGCAGAACTGCCAAATTACAAGTGAGGTTAGCCCATCAAATATGAGAATAACTAGTCTAACGCGTAACTAATAATAATCCTCACAACTAATTTAAAGGCTTATTTACATCAAGGTCAAAACTGCAAGCGTTGCAAAAACTGTGACCGCAACGCCAGCGACGCCACGATTGATACAATCAGCTCGCGAATTTCCTTGCTCACTATTGCTTTCAAATTTGCTCTCACTTTCTTGTTCGTAAGGGACTTTGGGCTTATCATCAGTTTGGCAGGTACAAATCTCCCCAGAGAAAGTAGCTTTGAGTCCATCATGTGCTCCACGTGAAATATACTCGTTAACATGGTCGCTTGGTTGGCACGGGTTCCCGGTCTTTATGTTGGCGCAGTGGGTGGGTGAAGAGCAGAAGTCTGTTCCGGTGGGGTTGTCCTCCTTCGAAACGCAGCTCGTACCTTCCTCCCAGCGACAGGAACCAGTTTCCATATCCACAGCGAATTTAGAAGCATGCCCGGAAGGGTGGTTTGCACCTGTGTTAATTTTCAAAATAATTTTTAGGATACAAATTTTAGAAAATATTTTTGCTTGAAAAAAAAACTTTGCACTTTTTATTACAATGTGATGTTTATCTTGTTTCCAGTTCTTGTTAATTACTTAACTTACCTAAGAGGGCACTTCTTGCAGACTCACCACACACACATTCTGCACTAATTTTATCGCAGATCACCATTTTCTCTGCAGAACAGAGGGGAAGTCCGGTTTTGATAATGTCGGATAGGAATTCGTCCTTCTTTTCAAATAATGCCGACTCGTCCAATCCTTCGACCAGCACCGATTTCACAAAATTTTCTCGCATTTCTTCCGCAACGTGGGAACAATTGTCACCATAGGAGAGGGTTTGAAACAATTCGGTAAATTGGAGGGGTTTAACGAGGTCCCGTTTGGATCGGTGGGTGGTAAAATTCGGAGGCTCAAAGTAGGACAAGAGAGCGACAACTAGTGGAATTGACCCAGAAAACATTTCTCTAGAGATTCTTTATTAATTTGGGCAAAATTTTGGCTATAATCGTTAACAAATTCGTGAAGATTCTGCGTGACTTCTCTCAGATATCGCTGAGATGTGACCGCCGAATCGAGGCTAATTCTCGGAGAATCTCTACGATTAGAAAAGCAGAAAACTCGGCAAAATCGTCGAGAAATCTCGGCGAATTCTTCACTAATTCGGTGTACTAACTAAAGAATTCTTCACTAATTCGGTGTACTAACTAAAGAATTCTCCGTGAATTTGTGCAAAATTAAGTAGATTTCGGCAATAATTTGGTAGAAACGTTTTATTTAGTTCAACCACATAAATTGCAATAATTCAAATGATAGTACAATTTTTGCGTAACTAACATAGAATAACTTCATTATTTTATTTTACTCAAACAGCTTGTCCCAAGTTCACCGTTGGCACACCCTTTCTGTAATTAGTGAAATATGTAATGCGAGTTAATACAAAATAATTAAAAATTGGATTTAATAATTTATGCAAGCTCACTTCTTTCTTTGATATTCACGATCTGAAGCCTTTTTGAGCGAATCTGCTATTGCCACGTCAATCTTGTCGATGCCGACATTTGGACCAGTGTTTGGATGGGCCTGAACTGCATCTGAGGAATAAATTCGAAATTTAAAAAAACTGAATGTTTTACTCCATAAAATAACATGAAATTTTAAATGGAGTATGATACCATTAATAGCTTCTCGAAAATTGACCAACGCGTTAAAACACCGCTTCTTGCGCTTTCCTTTTAAGCTGAACTGTGCCATCATCTGCAATCTGTGCCATCATCTGCAGTGAGATCATCTGCAATAAGCTTCGACATGATTTGTAATACCACAGTGTTGACGTCCGTTCCCTTACAAGTTGCAATAATAATGGCCTAAAATTGTTCAACCTGGTTAATATTGGTAGACAGAATTAAATTCTCATTTTCAAATGTATTTTTACATACCAAGTCCAATTTCGCATCTTTTGACTTCTTGACACGATCATCCAAATCAATGATGTCTTCCATTCTCGTTAATGGGAAAGCCAAGTCGTTGAGCTCGTCTGATAACGTAGCGACTACAGTAGGGCTCCCGTTGGCCAACTCCCTTCCCAGAATGGTGCGTAACGCCTGTCCATGTCCTTGAAGTTCCAGTTTAATGGAGTGCAAAAGTCTCATAACTGAATGTGAAAAAATACCAATTATTAAACGAACTACGAATAAAATTTATACTTCAAGACTGACGTTTAAAAGTACTTACTGTTTGTTAATTCATAAGAATCCGTTTGAATTGCTTTATCCTCTCTCTCGACGAAAAACACTTCAACAATGTCGTCAGTCGGCAAGCCAATGGAGGTAGTCTGGTCAGGAACGACTTGTGCAGCACATAAATTCGTTGACGATGAATTGGCTTCTTCAGTGTTCTAAGTGTTGGCTGATGATGAACTCGCAACTACTTTTAATGATTCACTTGAATTATCTGTAAAAATTTTGTCGTCACCAAGATTTTTAATAAGTCTTCTTTTCTGTCGATTCGAGAGGGAAAAGACACCCAGCCTGCTCATGGCTGTGGTTGGGGACTAACTAGTGATTGATTTTAATCACCTCGTTGCTCTCTTAAATTTCGCACAAGACGCAGGCTTTAGTATCTCTACGACTCTACGAATTCGGTGAAAATTTGTAGTGATTTTGGCAAGTCCAATATTTGTCTCAATTTCTCTACGAATTCTCACAGAATTCGTTGAAAAAATCGTTTACAATTTGTTACCAAATGATTGTAGTGAATTCTGCGAGAATCTTATACAGAAATCTCTGAGAGTTATTGAAGAATTCGAGATCGGTAAGATTTCGAACAAGATCGTAGAGAATTCGTTGACCGAACCATAGAGAAATGTTTACTGGGGAGAAATTCATTGTTGTAGAATTACAATTTAAATTAATTTGAGATTAGATTTGTTTGTCTAGTCGAAACTTGGGAGGAAAAAATGGATTGAATTGATCCACACAAAATCAAGATGCGAGAGTTGTGCCAGCCATGCCGAGAACGAAGTGCGCAAAAAGCTGGCTGTTTGAAAGTGCCACTCCAATTGGGGCATGGTGAACCCGACGACGTGAAATTTCAGATTTTATTCACTTCAAAGCTCCAATATTGAAGCTACAATATAATGGATTTAATTCATTTTGTTATACATTGCTAATTTTTTGCTTATTAAAACGGCAAGGATCCCCTAGGGCCTCATGCAATTGAGAGAAGAGCATTACCATACCGATTCCTCAATATTTTTTAATTACTTACGATAACCTAAATTAGTTAATGCTAAACTATAACCTTAGCCTCACAACTAATTTAATATCTATATATCTAACATTAAACTCAAAATTGCAAGCGTTGCAAAAATTGTGACGAGTACCCTACCGCAGTCACGATTGGTACAAACAGCTTGAGATTTTCCGAGCTTATTATCGCTTTTATGTTTACTATCGCTTCCTTGTTCGTAAGGTGCTTTGGGCTTATCATCCCTTTGGCAAGAACAAATCTCCCCGGAGAAAGTAGCCTTGATTCCATTATTTGTTCCACGTGAAATATACTCGTTAATATGGTCACTTGGTTGGCAAGGATTCCCGGTCTTTGTGTTGGCGCAGTGGGTGCGTAAAGTACAGAAGTCTGTTCTGGTGGGGTCATCCTCCTTCGGAACGCAGGCAGTACCTTCCCCCCAGCGACAAGAACCAGTTTTCAAATTCGGGACAAATTTAGAAGCATGGCCGGAAGGATGGTTTTCACCTGTGTTTCATTTTAGTAAGAATTTTTAAGATCTGGTGTAAATGAATTATAATTAAATTTCATGACGAAAGATACATAAAACAAATATATATATAAATATTTTTGATTTGGAAAAAATATTACATTTTTTTATTGCACGGTTATTTGTATTTTGTATCCAATTATTAATTACTCACCTAAGAATGAACTTCGTCCAAGATCACCACACACACATTTTGCGCTGATTTTATCGCAAATAACGAATTTATCTGTAGAACATAGCGGAAGTCCTCGTTTGGTAATGTCGGATTGGAATTTGTTGAATTTTAGAATTACTGCCGACTCATCCAATTTTTCGGCTAGAATGGATTTTGCAAACTTTTCTCTCATTTCTTCCACAACGTAGGAACAATTATCTCCGTAGGAAAGAGCTTCAATTAACTGTGTAAATTCGAGGGGTTGAACAACATCACGTTTAAATCTGTGGGTAGTAGAAGTCTGAGGCTCGAAATATGATAATACAGCTAAAACGAGTGGAATTGAGAAATTCATCGTTTTAAAATTAAAACAGATAATTTTACATTTAGAATCGATTGTCTCGTGCCGTTTGGAAGGAAATTTTTAATGATAAATTGAGACGATGTACTACACATTGGCAAAGACTTACATGCGTAGTTGATTATGAAACTGAGGTGGAAATTTATGCGGTAGCATTCGTAGACAAGGAATATTTAGTAGACATGTGACATTTTTAATTGGAATTGTTGACTCAGATGTAAGGTGTGCTTATGCATTAACTTTTGTAAAATTAGGAGGACAATACCACTGCGAAATAAGATTTGGTACTGGGGCGTAAACTGTCCACTGTAAGTTACGAAAAACGCCAGTGAACACGATAAAGAGTTGCTGTTGCATGCATATCAGACTATGAAAGTGCTAATCAAAAATATAACATACAAGAAATTACTACAAGAAATAGTTTTTTTATCAGGAAAGGAATAACTTCTTCATAGAGTTCAACAAATATAACAAGTGGATGTACATACATATATCTGTACATTTATATCGCTAGAATGATTTACGATTCGATATATGTATGCAACAAGCATGTGCGTGTTTGTTTTTACTTTATTTTTAATTATGCACGCTTAACACATCAAGTGTCGAACATTTTATAAATAATAAATTAGTTCATTTTTTAGTGTATTTAATCTCACAAGCCATGTACATATGTAAAGGTTATATTTATATCAAAATCGAAATTGCAAGCGTTGCAATAAGTGTGACCACTACTCCATCGACGCCACGATTGGTACAAACGGCTTGCGATTTTCCACGCTTACTATCGCTTCCATGTTCATGAGGTACTTTGGGCTTATCATCACTTTGGCAGGTACAAATCTCCCCGGAGAAAAATGCTTTGACTCCATTATTGGTTCCGCGTGAAGCAAATTCATTGACCATGTCGCTAAGTTGGCAAGTGTTTCCGGTCTTTCTGCTAGTGCAGTGGGTGCGTGAGGTGCAGTGTTCTGATTTTGTGGGGGTGTATTCTTTCGGGGCACAGGTCGTACTTTCCCCCCAGCGACACAATCCACGCTTCATATCCGGGACAAAACGAGCAGCGTGACCGCTCGGGTGGTTATCACCTGTAATTTTTGCAAATTGTATGTACATAAACCTTTGAATTTCGCACAAATTGAGAATAAAAACATAACGTTCAAAAATTTTGCAAGCTTGAGATTTCGCAAAACTTTGGTTGGAAAACTACTTCATTTTTTTAAATTTACCCAGAAATTTGAGTATGCTTTTATTTCGCGAGATGGTTCTGCAAACTCACATTTAGAATTCCGTGGAAACTATGTAACTCAAAATATGATATCAGAACGCGTTTTTCATAATGTTAGAAATCATAATTTGTTAATCCCGTCACAACGCAGTTTTTTGACCTTTTGGAAAATTTGCTAAGTGAGTTGCGATCTCCCTTTTTGTGAAGCTCAATCCAAATATTTTTTTCGTCTGATAATAGATTTTTGATTTAAAAAGGTTTGAAATTTTTATTTGAAGTAAGCCACTCATTTTATCCACTGATTTGTGAATTTATGCCAGTGCTCACCTAAGAATGAGCGTCTTCCAGGATCACCACACACACATTTTGCACCGATTTTGTCGCAAATGACTAATTTTTCCGAGGAGCAGAGCGGTAGTCCTAGTTTGACAATGGCCGACTGGAATTTGTTTAATAATTCAACTATTTCCGTGGGATTGAGAATACCTGATTTCACAAAGTTTTCTCTAATTTCTTCTGCGGCGTAGGAACAATTGTCTCCATAGGAGAGAGCTTCAATTAACTTTGTAAATTCGAGGGGTTGAACGAGGTCGCGTTTCAATCTGTGTGTAGTAAAAGTCTGAGGGTCGAAATGTGATAATGCGGCGAAAACCAGTGGAATTGAGTAGTTCATTGTGTTAAATTTGGCCAAATATGAGCCTGAATACGAATTAGTGTGAAATTAGAGAAGCTTGTCTGCTTCCACTAGAAGGAAAAAGGTTTATGAAACGTTGAGATGGAGTATGTACTAAATATTGATCAGTACTGCAAAATCAATTATGAAGCAGAGTGTTAATTTATGCGCAAGCATTCGTAAGAAAAAACATTGGTATGTATGTATGCACCATGTCGGACATAATTGATTTCATACGCTTTAAACTTTCCTATTTCATTAATTAGTCTGGATTTGAAGGGTGGTAACCCAGAAAAATTGTTGTGGGATGACGTCCCTGTTTTTGAAAGAGATCAGAAAGGTGAAGGGTCGTAATTTTTGACGTACTGATTTATTTGCTTGCTGGTTTTATTTTTTTTCGCTTTGGTATGTCAACCTGAACATGTTCATAGCGACCTATGTACATACATATGTATGTGTGACTTGAGATAGAGTAATTTTAACGCTATGGGATCAATTGTGTCCAAGACACTGCAGGAGGCATGCGACATTCATAATTAGAAACGTTCATGCATGTATAAGGTGTGCTTGAGCATGAACATTAGTAAAATAATGAGGCCCATACATACACAGCAATAATATCTTTATTTAGCGATAATGATCAAGCTAAATATGTGCGAGATAGTAAACCTGGTAAAAAAGCTATTTAAGTATCATATTGAATTCGCGAGAATTGAGGTAGCAGCATAAATTGCGAAATATTAATGAGTGTGCAAATAATTGTAAGTAGTAGTATGCACATATTTTTTAGAGTTTTCAAGGTCAACAGTTGTTAATGCGTGAGAACTCCTTTATGGAAATGTCTTGTCCGTCTGTCGCTGTATTCATGATAACTTAGAACGGAATTTCGGCATGTGGTCTTCTGCATCAGCGGGTTTCTTAATTCCTGGGGAGCAGTTAATTTTTTTATTTGGACTGTTTTAAACGTAGTTTGCACTATGGGCCAGATTTAATAAATTGTGGCCAAAAATATATAGGAGCCGAATTTGAGGAAACAAGAATTAGATTTTGGTGTGAAACGATAACCTAAGGCATATATTATATGATAAAATTTTTAAGACTCACATGCCACACCCCCAGGGGGTGTGGCCTTCGCCGACTTTTCGATTTTAACGGAACCATGTCATGTGATATATCATTTTTCTCAGCTCGACAACGGGGTTTCGATTTAATACCTAAATTTGTTAAACCACACCCACAGTGGGGGTGGCTCTAAGAAAATTGTCGATTTCACCGGAACCGTGTCATGTCATATATCATTTTTCTCAGCTCGGCAAAGGGATTTCGATGGAATACCTAAAATCAGCGTGCAGCGACTTTTCAGTTTTAACTAAACCATGTCATGTCATTTAATATATCATTTATCTTAACTAAATGAGGGGATTTCGACAAAATAATTAGAATTGCATTATGTAAATTGAGAAAATCCCACTTTCAACAATTGTATTTTTTAACAATTTCTTGCTGTATTTTTCGAAATTACGAAATCGCATACAAAGTTTTAAATTTTTAGAAACGTATTTTGATAATTTTATTTTTAGTAATTTTTGAGAAAATGTTTTAGTTCTTTCGTTTTTGATATAGCGTTAAAATTATAAAACAAAACTTGTTGACGAATTTAAATGCGAACTGAAAATGCAATCAAAACCGCTACAACCGAAAACACGAGCTTTCATGGAAATTCAAATAATAATAAAATACAATTCGAAACAAAATAATACAGGCGGTGTTATTTCGGTGTGGGGGAAATTCAAAATCGGAGAAAACAGCTTCAAGTCGCTGAACACCACAGCAACTGGGGTGTGGTTTCGAAATTCTAAAAATTCTGTCGAGATCCCGTCGTCCAGCTAAGAAAAAGTATAAATATATCAAATGACATAAAATCGAAAAGTCGCCGAGAGCCACACCCACTGGGGCATGGTTTTATTAAAATCGAAAATTTTCTAAAACCCACACCCACTGGGGGCGCGGTTTGCAAGTTTTAGGTATTCCGTCGAGTCCCCCTTGTCGAGCTGAGAAATATGATACATCGTATGTCATGGTTCCGTTCAAATCGAAAAGTCGCCGAGGGCCACACCCACTATGGGTGCGGTTTTAAAATTTAGGTTAGTCCGTCGAAATCTCCTCATCAGGGTGAGAAGAATGATATATCACATGACATGGTTTCATTAAAATCAAAAAGTTTCTGAGAACCACACCCACTGAGGGTGTGGTTCGTAAATTTTAAGTATTCAGTCGTAATGTCTTCATCGCCTTGAGAAAAATGATATGTCACATGACATGGTTTCGTTAAAATCGAAAAGTCTCCGAGGGCCACACCCACTGCGGGTGTGGCATGTGGCTATTTGAACATGGCTGGTAGTGCCCACGGTGTCGAGGTATTTTTCGACAAGAAATTCGATTTTTAGTCTGAAATTTAGCGGTATTCGTTAATTATATTTTATAATTTTGACCTTAATTTCGAGGGGGTGTGGTCGAATTTGAAAAATCTGGAAATTAATATTTCGCCCATTTACCTAAGGTTTCCAAAACAGTTACAAATTTGAAAATCGGTCAATAATTTGAAAAGTAATCCGACATTCAACTGTCAAGGTTGTGGCGATAGGTGCCCCACATTATAATGTGGGGCACCTACATATAGCCACACCCCAGTGATAGTGGCTTTTGGATCTGGATGGGCAGTCCACACCCACGTATCTTGTCCATCAAATCGATAAGTCGCATGATGATTTTAACTGAGAATGCAGTTAAATGAAATCAATTTAGCTCATTACTTATTTAGTTATATATGTGACTTGGAAGGCGTGTGGTTTCACTTGTGATCGAAAGTGGCAGTTTCCGGCACCAGCATTTATTCTCCACCCCAGAACCTCTCGAATGGTATCGAAAGCAAGTTCGTAAAGCACGGAAATGGACGGAAATGCTAAAGGGCGTTTCTCCCTATCTCCGCAATGTGTTTGGGAAAGTTTACCCCCCTGGTTCTCCGGAGTGGGTGTAACTTTTCACTTAATATTATGCATTTAGAATAACATGGTACTGTAGTCCAAAATGGTATACAAGAGCAGCCAATTCAAAGTACTGCCTTAAAGGCCACATCTTGGGCCCCCTGGCCCATAGTGGTTTGGGGTGAAGATTTCAGAAATCGGGTATCGCCACATGGGGATACTCAGGATTGTAAATTTTTCTACAGTCAATAGACACCGACTTGACCGACTGGTAATAACTTCTTACCAACTAATTTTTAACAATGCTCTAGGAAGGTTTTCTCGCAGCCGGGAGATGTGCATGGGAAACGTGGTCGTTCTTTAATGCTGTGGGCGGTATCAATATGTCACTGTAATTAGGCAAAGGAGGAAAATACCCGGTCACAAGTGTCACCTTGGTTGTTCCCGGTTGGTGTAAAGTGGTAATTATATAACACGTGGTAATTATATAAGGCTTGTCTGTTTTTGGAAATTATTTGTTTATGGAAAATGGCAGAAACCCAACCTATTTATTTATACATTTTTATTATCACCGCAATGTACGAACGACAAAAACTGTAATCATAGTGCAGTTTATAAACAGAGAGAAATAATATGTAATACCAAAGGAAGAAGTATATGTATGTTTGTAGATTCATGAATTGACATGAGCTGGAAATAATTTTACATCTTTTACTGAATTATAGTTTAGAGTATTATAGTTGTAGTAGTAGTAGTAAAAAAAACTCAATGAAAGAATTTTATGGTCGATTTGGGATAATCCATTTAAAGCAGAGATTAGTCAACGATTTTAGCTTTTTTGATCCAACTTAGATTTACTTAACGTCGTCTTCATCCGGCAAGGATTGCATATCCAAGCGCAATTCATATCAAGGTGCGGAGGTTCTTCTTGGATTATATAGCCAATCAGGTCGGCGAGTTATGGGTGTTACAGGCCTTTCCTCTTCTTCCTCTTCACTCTCTTCTTCTTCGGCTTCCTCTTTTACTTCATGAAGTTCACCGGACGGGGATCTAATAAATCGACCCGTCGAAACTCCTCTTTTCTCGCAACGAAGAACACACTCAGACGTCATCTGCTGAGAAATATTCTTGACCACATCGTCTCGATAAGCTTTTCGCTCCGATTTGGTCAATCCTTGTGGGTTTCTACAAACAGAAAACACGGTATTAACCCGAATGAATCAGAATGGAAAGAAACCTAAGAACTATCACAACTCTTACGTGATCATGCAACCCTTCTTCTTATCAATGTTGGCCACAGGATCAGGACAAGAATCGGCGTTCCTTGTCATCACCCTCTTCTTCTTCCTTTACTGCTGTGACGCTGGGGGTCTTTTTCTGTGGGATCTCCCAATTGTAGTGCGGATCGTTCATCTGCGCCACGGTCAATAAGCGCTGATTTATTGGCTCAGAGGCTGGAATTTCCACCTTTCTTCCATTCACGTAGCGAGTGCGCTTTTTCTTTAAAAATCCAATGTCGTCGTCAGCGTCGTCATACTCTTTAGCTTGTCTGTCTATGTCTTGCTTCCCCCAGAAGCCAGCAGCCGAATTCTTCGCTTCTCCATATGGACCAGCGCCAGCATCGCCAAAACCTCCCGGATAATCGGGCTTCACCTCATTTTTCTTTCTTTCCTCATTCTTAATCAGAAAGAAAATTAATTAAATCAAAGTAAAGCTAAAACTAATTTATCAAATCTGCGTCATCTTTTAAATACGAAATATATCATTCATAATTAGCACAGGCAAGACAATTAAATTACAAACAGAAAAGACAACACCGTAACATAAGTTAATTACCTGACTCAACTAGATGGACGATATTGGGCAGTAAGGAATAACTGATCGCAGGTTTAAATTGAATTTCACCCCGCTCCCAATGTAATCAAGTGGGCACGTGATTTTCGCGCGAAAATATCCTGCGATCATTTATTCCATAATGACCAATAGGATATGGTAGCTTCTTTATTTAAAGCTGACAACAATTAAAGTAATTATTTCAATCGAGCGAAAGAACGAGCGAAAGAACGAACGAATTTAGGACGATGCTGTGGCTTGTTTGCTGAACGAAACCCAAAACCAAACTGCCGGCACGAGACGATGTAGATGAGCAGATAAAACGTTCAGATGAAAGGTGGCACCAGGACAGAGGCAAGATGAGACTGATTCTTACCAGGGGACCCTGAGGCAACATGAAATTCGTGTATTTCCCAATAATTTGATAACCTTGTAAATACAAGTTTTTATTTAGCTTCATTATGTAGTTACACATGAGCTTGATGATTTTACTCTTCTATATAATTAAATCATTTCCTGTCATGTTTGAGTTTAAATGTTAAAAGTGTAAAACATTCTCCTGGATTTTATCACTCGACATATTTAATTCGACAACTCCTGTCACAGCTCCCATCAATAAACCAGTAGAATGACTGCTACTGTATTTCATACTATAATTTTCCTCGTCATCCTGCTCCTTCAACAGCCACAGTTCATCGCGGGGTGTGGTTATGGAGCGCAACAAGTTCCCAAGGTGTGTCAAACCATGACTCCGAACCATGGCGTGCCTGGTCAAACGACCCCCATTCCTTACTCCTTCACCGTGGACCAAGTTAAGGTCAAACCTGGAGAAGATCTTGTGACGGAACTCTCATATCCTTCCTCCCTCTCGCGTTACATAATTTATGAGAGGCCCGTAAAGCGTGGCCTTCAAGGCATACATATTTTTTCCTCTTAAGGATGTGAAGTATTCCAATGACCTTTAGCAATAACACCCAAGGTAGGTATTTTAGATTACATTACATTTAGTAAATGTCATTTACCCATATTATACATACATAAATATATAACCCTGCTGCCAAATTGATTTTACTTTCCACACTTAGAAATAATTTTACTTTTTTGAAAAGCAAGTGCACTTTTTACTCCATATGAAGTCAAGTTTACTAAATCCAGAGTAACGCTTACTTGATACGGAGTAAACCTTACTTCATATGGAGTAAAAAGTGCACTTGCTTTTCAAAAAAGTAAAATTATTTCTAAGAGTGTCCTCCAGTAAAATTATATACCAGACTAAACTAAATTATAGTTAATTACAGCTTCAAATCATTTCCTTCATTTATACACTGAGATGCCAAGTAATTTTTTCGCGATTTATGTACATAAGGTGGATCTACTAAATAGTGGATCACTTGGTGCGTTTAGTAGCGAAGTGGTCAAAAATAGGTTTCAAAACCTGAAAGTGATGTGGAATATGCCAAATATATCTAACCACATGCCACAAAAATTTCATAAGTTTTGAATGGAAAATAAATTTCGTACACGATTTCAAAGCGAAGAAGTCGGGAAACAAGTTTTGGATAAGTACCGGAATTTGATTGATAAAGACTCGAAGAAGACCTGACTACATTTCAACGGAGTTGGGTATTGCCGTGCAAAAATCAAGACATACATAAAAATGTATGGAGAATCCGAAAATGTAAGCTTCAAATAACCACCATTTGAAAAAACCATCATATCGACCCCTCAAAAGTTAAAAACGATTGAGCAGTTTTTTGAAAATGCTCCATCCACGTCGGTGCCGGATGCGGCCATGAAGTCAAAGATTAATACAAACCACTTGTACCATATTAAGGCCTATAAAATGGGGGTCAAAGCGTATGTAAAGAAATCTCCAGCAAAATGTACGTGAACTGAAAAAAAAAATGGTAACCGCACCAACTCTGAAGCTTTGCAACAAAAGTTTACCAAAAAATTTGGTCATTCATGACGAGTCCTACGTCCTTAATAACGCGACAGAAACTCCGGAAAGGCAATTTTTCATGGCAAATGTATCTCTCAACTGAGAACCGAAGAGAAATTAAAATGTTTTTCGAAATTTCTCAAAAAATCTCAGGTTTGGCTGGCGTTCTTTAAATTTGGGCATGTTTTGGACCCCTCATTTTAGAAGGCCTGTGGGGACGCACAGGTTTGTTTTCAGAAATGTGTGGTAGTCCATCTGATTCCTTTCATCAATGAGTATCAAAAAATATAGAATGTAATTTTTTGGACAGACCTTGGACTAATCCACAATTCAACAAGTATTAAGGAAGAAATCGAAAAAAAATTCAGTTTGACGTCGAAAAATGGAAACCCCACATGCATCCCTCATCTTTGCTCAATAAAAAAATGTCGACTATGTGTAAGAAGGCATACTCCTAGCTTTGCGAAACAGTCGATAATTCAAGAAAGTTTTGCTTCCGGTGGGAGAAAATTAGCAATGAAGTTGCAAAGTCTTCCGGAAAAGCACTAACGGCGGAGGTGAGGAAAAAGGGTAAATACGACATGGATAATAGATTAAAGTCTTCTTTGTCCGCGGATGTATAAAATTAGATATACTTGGAATATTCTGCAAGAATTTCAGAATTCGAAACCTGTTTTTGACCACTTGGCTACTAAAGTTACCAAGTGATCCACTATTTAGTAGATCCACTATATGTATATCTATGCAGTGTAAAAATCGTTAATTTTCAGCCACGAAATACATACTTAAACATGCTAAATTCATGACCTAAATAAATAAAAGTGACAAGCGTACAAAGGTATTTAAAAAATTAGGAGTACCGTTGTTTATTTAATTACAACATGTCACTATAAATTGCTCAAACGGACACACTATGAAATTATTTGTGAGTTATTAACAAGCAATGGTATTTTTGTCACAAAACTACTTCCTGGTCGAAAAAAAACCTATCAATGCAGTAGGTTATACATAAAGTCTTTCTGTATTTGACGACACTGCTCAGCTACTTTTAACTTTCTGGGCAAACTTGCAAATAAAAATACAAATAAATGTTTTTGCAGGAAATTTAAAAAGCTGGTGAAAATATTTTTCGTTTTTTTAAATTCTGTTTTGCCAGTTTTGTCCACTCTTAATCTTTTCAGTATTTGGACATGTTATCAAAAGGCCAATCTTATTTTTGGTATTGGGTATACCCCATGAAACTGTGTAACCTAAGTTTTTCAGTTCCCTACAGATACGACGGAAAATCAGAATCATGCAAACAGATCGGTCCCAAATCTAATATAATTTATAAAGCGACCTTGATATTTCACGTAATTTATCTGCTCCTCATGTGCACACATTTGCTATTTAATCGAGATAAAATTGGCCTTCGTAACGTGCTTACGGCAACTGTTATCATAGTTGCTTATGCCACTTCGGGCGTAAGTCGACTGACATTTTTCATCTGGGAGGACGATGGGCTAGCCCTGCTCAATGGATTTCTACAATTTGAAAGGAATTTGTTGAAAAGTTAGTGAGTTTGGAACAATCCTTATTCCTACGATACGCTCTTAGAAATCCACTATTAAAATTATACCAAGTACGCATGTATATATACTTAACTCTACCAAGGTGGTATCGATAAGTAGTACCGTGTTGTAATAGCCTGGTATTAAAGTTCTATCACAGAAAAGGCTTACTGCCCCCGGTGTAATTTTACTTAATACCAAGCGGTAGTACATCTGTAACTTTCATAAAGAGAAATCAATACTTGCATATGTATCATATTTCTAACAGTGTAGTCATTTTTACTTTGGTGCCTTTGGTGTCTAGCAAAGTATTTAGAACACAGTCTCTTTGTTTGCGCGTCTAAAAATATCTTTTTCCTTCTGGACGATCAAGATAAATAGGGAAAAATGAGATAACGAATTACTTTGTTTTACGTAAATTCTTGCTTTGTCGAAACTCCTTAAGGAAACATTTTTTAATCAAGCAGATTTCAGTAACATGAGCCATAAGATTCGAAATGGTGTGACGTATCTAAAAGTGATCCTTGTATTTGCAACCGCATCCTGCGCATCGTTAGGAATCTTCGTCGGAATCCAATTATATTTCGCACCTTGTTCGCCGCCGTACGCTGGGTCGATGCGATCTGCCTGCTTAAATCGGGAATCACCAGGACCGATCGACAACCTCGGCGTGATGTGCCTCCTATTTGATGCTGGAATGTATTTCCACGGCGGGCCATCTGCCTCACTGTTTATAGCCAATTTCCTATTGGGCTTCGGAACAGTGTTGCAGGAATATCTGGTCATCATATCGGGATAAAAATATTTGTACTTATTTCCAGCATTAGAATTTGAAAAGCAGTTTATATGTTGAGTTAGATTTAAATGAAAAGTAACGAGGCGGTTTTTTTAGTCTAATTGTGTTTGGAATTCTCATTGTATGAATTAACCTTAAATATTCGTAGTAATAAAGGATTGAAATTTCCTAAATTTATTTGAATCGAAAAGAGGCTGTCAAAATAAGAATTTTAAAACAGTTTGCAAGAACACAAACTTTCGGTATTTTTGGCGGTAATTTTAAATTTAAAAACAGCTCCGTCAAAACAAGAATATGTAATGTGCATCAGTCAAGGTCTCATTTTGTATCGCAACCCATTTGGCCATGGGGTTATCGTCGGTCATAGGTAGGTTATCGGAATAACTTCGTAACATAAAAACATGATTAAATTTATTATGTAACAAAAATCCCTAGATTTTTCCGATCTCCAAAAGCTTTAATAAAATTTAGTTATTGATCTATTCAATCTGCAAGATTTTAGAGCTATTCGAAGGTTGTCGTGAATACGTAAATCGTGTTTATATCAAACATTGTCGCACTGATTTTGTCGTTTTTCTAGAAAATCGGACACGTTTTCAACCCAAAGACAAAGGGAAACTCGGGCAATGTCATCATTTCGCACGTATGCTCAATGCCGCATCTTGGTCGCCCAGATGAATCTCATATTCCAAAATTTCTTCATTCCCGGGCTTTACTGCGTGACCTCGAACGGGATAGTTTTCGCATTTTACGTCATCATCCGACTGCATGGAGTAATCTCGTTGGCCGGCATGTCATTTTTTATCATACTTCTCACGGATTTTGCCCTTACAGTGGGGCTTGATCTCGCCTCAGTTGGCCACGTGTACTCCGTGTCCGTCCACGTGACGGAAAAATGGAGGAAGATGGAAAACCTGGGGAGGAAAAGTGAATCGAGAAAGATTGCGAAATCATTTCCCCCGTTAAAGA